CACTAAACGAATCTCTAAAAAAATCTTAAAATTGATTATTAACAGGGAATGCTAATCAGTTGGCCACGACTTAGGTAATTTGGGATTTCTTAAACATCAAGGTACCATATATCCGTATACACTTTTAACGACAATCTCATTTGGGTCACAAAAAACTTATTGGTAAGTAAATAAGTCGCTCTAGTCTGTTTACGTTGACTTCAAGTACGATTATGTGTAATTGTGTAATGTTAGCTTTTCAACAATTTTCAACAATTTTGATGTATTCTGTATTCTTGAAGGTTATTTAGTCTGTGCTATAAATCAATAACATTTATCTTTATTTTAAATTACAATGTCGACTTTGTAATTAAGATCCAACACATTATTTTTATATTTATGTCATGGTTTTAAAATGTAGGAATTCTATTTGTTATTTTAATAATCGAACAGTAGTCAGATGGCAGAAATAAGGGTGTCACATTGGCTCGACTACACGATGGCTATATCAGTAGTGGCGAGCAGGGTGTGTGAATACACGAAAAAACGGTGTTGTTGGTAAGGTTATTCTGTACAAATTGGAAGAAAACATAAGAGCTAAAAAAGACTATATTTTATTAAAGCATAATATGGCTGTGGCTCCTATAGTAATGTGTTGTTTAGTTATCTATCAGCGTTCGCTTTGCATCTGGTTGTAGTAGTGATCATTTCGTTGTGCAAACAATTCAGTGTTAACGCTCGACCGCCGTCATCCTAAATAGCAAATGGCAACATTCAGTTCAATTGAGTATGTCAATCCAGTAACGATACGCTGAGCCGGCGCCCATGAATTGTATTCGTATTGTTAGGAACAAAATTAGTACCGTGCTGTAGAGTTGGCGCAACTCTAGATTATCGGCATAAACGTCACGTCCCTAGCTGACAGCTGTCAATGTCACTAGAAGTGTGAATAGATTGGCGCGCAACTTGAGTCTTGACGAGAAGTGTTGCTCTGAGTTTAAAGCGACAGTATCAATTAAATAAGTTGTCTAAAAGTATATAATCATAGTTACACATAATCTACACTGAAATTTGTAAACCGTTATATTTAACATGAAACAGGTACATTGTATTTGTAACATTAGTTATTTATTTATTTAAAGCCACTCAGCACATGTGCTGATCTTCCGTGGTCATTGAAAATAGATGGCACTAATTAGGATCCTTGTCTTCAATCATACTATCACACTAATATTATAAATGTGAAAGTTTAGATGGATGGATGGATGTTTGTTAGAGTTTGTAGCCTAAACTGATGGACGGATCTCAATGAAATTTTGCATACAAATAGAGGATAGTCTGGAAGAACACATAGGTTACTTGGTTTTGTTTTTTTTAATACGAAGCGGACGGAGTCGCGGGCGAAAGCTAGTATAATTATAATTTAATAATTGAGAGATCGTTACAATATAGCTAATTAAAGTTGGTGCTAGTCTATTAGTATACGCGGGACTTTTTTATAAATAGACATAAAACGCCTTCATGATCTTTATAGATGGTTTTGTAACACGGTGTTAACTTACATCAAACTTTGTTAACTAGTAATTTTCTACATAAGTATGTTGAGCGACATTTCGAAGACATTTTGATAGCATGACAATAGAAATTATAATTTACTAGCTGTTCCCGTGCGGCTTCATCCGCATGAAATTATGAAAATTTTATTTCACTATTTACATTTGTCAAATTATCAATAGCAAATGTCAAAATGACATGACATAACAAATATTGACAATCTTGCTTTCTCGATGTTGGCAGCAACTTACGGTCTCTTTTCCACATTAGGCTTTTTATCCAAAATATTTTCCCTCTACGTTTAATGGCGTAAAAATATATAGCCTAAAGCGTAACGTAAGTGTAGGGCTTTTTATTAAGAAAAGAACTATTCAAAAATATGCTGTAATTACTGACATCTTAGGCAACAAAGAAGTGTGTGTTTACGCTTTATTATAATAGTATAGATTTAAAACTGTATTAAAGCTACTGGACGTTGTTGGTTGGTAAATAATAACCACAGCCGTAGTGTTTGTGTGTGTGTTTTGTTACATAAAAATGATAATCATTCTAGTCCCTGGGATCTTGATAATCTTTAAAAAATACTGTCTTATTGATATATGAGTGAAAGCTTGAAGGAAGACGAGATTTTCTTTATTTAATTCAACGCAGACAAAATCACGCGGTACAGATAGTTTACAATTTCGACATTAAAATTGAAGGCATCCTTAAAAAACAGAAAAGCAAAAGACACAGAGAGTCAGGGTGTCAATAGCCTCATCTCAATGGTACTATTCGTAATAAAGCTTAATATAAAATGAAATACCAGTTTAAACAATAATAAAAAAAGGTTGTTTATCGGCATACTGATGTGTCGAATAAACTACCACAAAAGGGACCAGTTTATAAACGACATAAGTTCAACGAATTACAAAAGATAGAGAAGATAGAAACATGAATGATGATTATATTTTTGAGATGGTTTGTGCTAGCTGCTCACTACTTTAAGCACTTCTTCATTTGCATTCTTTTGAAATAATCAGAAGTTACTTCTTCGTTTAATCATAGCTAAGACCAGTGACTGTCAACGTGGTCTGAGGTCTATAGGAAAACCGGCGGGGATCCACAACTTGTAAACGGAATATAAGAAAATTTTAACTGGTTTCGAATATCTAACGTTCGCCCTTAGGTTCAACTACCTTCTCCCCAAGACTCCAAGATTGTTAAATGTATGTAAAAAATTATAAAAAAAAAACTCAAGTGCCTACCATCCCTAAGAGATCCTCATAGCTAACTCAAAAACGACTTCTAAGCTGTTCATAAAAAAAAACTTTTTTCTACTACCCCCCCTCATTACCATCGACTACCCTAAAAACTAGAATCGGCCGATGACACCTAAGAATGTGGGGACTAACTGTCGGTCGAAACCCTGAGGTGTTAATGATCTATTAAATTTTAATATTTAATTAAGGCTAACCCTCGACGACGGACGGTCATAAATCTTTATTATCTACATGTGCGATATATAACTTTTTATGTGGTTGTAAGGCACACTTAGCCGTCGACTCGTATACGTTCCGCAAAAGTTGTATGGTGTACGAATCCTTTGCGGCGTTTGTTTGTTCAGATTCGAGCGCTGGTAATGGTATGTTGCAAACGGGCGGGCATCTGGCGAAACGCGGTGATCACAGCGGCAACCTCGCACGCAGCGCACGTATGTACGCTCGTACGTTCGTGTGCACGCACAAGAGCGCGCGCGCCGCATCGCGGCCCCGCTCGCAACTAGGTCAGGGCGCTCTGCGGCCGCGCGCGTTTTAAATTTAGAACGATTCGCGCTACAAACCTCCTCCCCCCCACACCCCGCCATCACCCAACACTATCTATACCAATTAATTGCTCACCTTCAAAATTAACACCTGCCACCCGTAACACCCCTGCATGATTTGCGACATCATTTAAAATCAGTGACCATACGTAGATACCTTAACACCTCTTTCAGTTTAATTATAGATAACGTTTTAATAAATAATTTATTTTCTCTGATAAAATCATACTTTTACAACAAAAAGCTCACGGTTGAGTTGATACAAAGATCAATTTTTTACGTGAATTAAAATCATGATTTATAATTTTTCCACTTGAAAATGTCCTATCAGAATTTAACTAGATTAAAATGAAACAATACGTTTTACTCTGTGTTAGCATTTTATAAGTGTGACACGAGTGACTAAAGTGGGTCTCGCGTTTGATAGCATTTATTTCGCCATACTGTAACATATGATTGGAAATAATGAAACACTGCGCGGAAAGAATTGAAAAGTACTCATCGTCACACCCGCAAAACCTTGGGGCTAGCCCTGCTTACAAACTGGTTATGTAGACTTCACTTCGTATCCCTTACAAAATAGCAAACAAACAAGTTTATATTGCAACGCCGTGCTATCGAAACATTGCGCTGTTGCCGACTCGCCATACAAATGTTAACAGATGAATTTCATCGTTTTCATGCTTAACGTATTTTGTTTAAATTTACATGAAATTTATCATTTACAGTCGATTTCATCAAAGTATATGTATTTTGTTTCATTAAGGTCTTTATTAAAGTTTTTTTTATGACATGATGAACCTAGACAAAATACTATAATTATGTCTACATTTATACGTGGTTATACTTAAATTATTATCATTTTGTTTATTTTATAATAAATCAATCTATATATTCAGCTTCAACTACTTAGCTATATGTGTACCATGTAAATAAATCAACGCACTTTATTATTTTCGATTTTAACTAAATTTAAAGTGACTAGGAAATTCAATTCTTTGTATACTTTTTCGGATGGAAAAACCCACGAATATTTTTTTCCAACGCATAGTGTTGGTTGTAATGGTATTTAGCTTAATTTAATTATTTAAATTCACTATGTTTATATTTGTCGCATACTTTCGTAAATAACTAGATAGGTTTTCATGAAACTTTAACTAATGAACTTACTGAGTTCGTCAGATAAAACCTAATATACCTATTCTGGGACGATATGGTAGTTTCAGCATTTATAAGTTATAATAAATCCGAAATAAGCGTGCCTCTAATAAGATAATAATATATTTTCCTCTTTAATTAAATGAGTATTGCCTAAAAATGTTCTTTACCGGCTAATTTAACATAAAATAAATAACACCTTCAAGTAAACCTAGGGAGAAACATTTACATAAACATTGTAGAAGAGTATTTTGAAGCATAGCATTTGTTGTAGATAGCTTGCAAGTGGATTGCAAGCTGGTTGACTGTCGTTTCTATGCGCAGCCAAACTTTCAATTTTTCTGCACTAGCTGCCGCTGCATGATGTAATGCCATCTCGGCCGCGCTTTGCAACCGCGCTTGCATGCGACCTACATTCCCAAAGGAGTTGTGGTTTTCATATCGATGCAGATAAACGAAGCGGCAAAGTAACTTATGTAAATACACTACAACGAATAAGACTCACCTTCGAGCTTCATGCCCACATCAAGACATTTTTGGAATCGGCAGAAGGGACATCGTTTCCTCTGTGTTTTGTCAATGTGGCAGGC